AGTGGTTAGGGGCGATCAGGCAGGCAGGCAAGGTGGTTAGGGACAATGTGGCAGGTAGGAGAGTTGTTAGGGGTTATCAAGCAGGCAGGTGAGCAATTAGTGGCGATGAGGAAGACAAGCAGAGAGGTAAGGGGTGATGAGTTAGGCAGGCAAGTGGTTAGGTGTAATGAGGCAGGCAGGCAGGCTAGCAGTTAGGAGCCAGTGGTACTGTATTGTGTGGGATTGGGCCTAATCTTGCCAGTCGAACATCCCCCAAGGGATCCTGGATTAGGAAAAGGTGCAGGATCTACCCTGCCCCCACTCCATTGAATTTCGTACACCTTTAATTTCTGACCCTATATAATAAAAGAGAAACATGTAAATTGACTGTCCCTTTGCTAATCTCACCAGCCAATCAGGAGTGAATATTCAAATTAACCTGACAAAGATGGCTGGTTAATTTGCATATGTGGGTGCCTAGTGGCCTGAGTCCAGGAACATCCTCAGGGCCCAGGCTGTTTAGACCCTGTAGGCCTGCACATAGGCCCTGAGTGGACGGGGTCCCACAATGCCCTGACCAGGAGTGGCCTACGGGTGCCAGTGCCAAGCAGCCTGGGTACTGGGACAAGTGGTTGGAGTTGCCAAGCACAAGCGGCTGCAGGGTGGGGCGGGAACTTCCGCCGTGTTGCTTGAGTATGCGCTTGCGCCAAGTGGGCCAGGTCCACGCCCCTCAGCTTGGTGAACACAGCGAACATGGGCCCCTGGGCTTGGGGGTATGCCCCCGGCAGCCGCCTTCACCATGTCCATGGGATCCACGCCCACCAGGCCTTGGACAGAGCCAATGCGGGGCCTCCAGGCTTAGGAGCGTGTCCCTGGTGGCCAGGGACATGCCCCTAGCCCAGTGGACACAATGTAGGGGATCCTCTACTCATGGGCTGCAGAGGAAACACCTTTTCTTTCAAAGATATACTTTATTGATTTTTTACAGAGAAGAAGGGAGAGGGCTAGATTGTCAGAAACATCGATGAGAGAGAAACATTCATCAGCTGCCGCCTGCACACTCCCCACTGGGGATTTGCCCCTAACCAAGGTACATGCCCTTGACCTGAATCAAACCTGGGACCCTTTAGTCTGCAGGCAGACGCTCTATCCACTGAGCCAAACCAGTTCGAGTGTAAACACCTTTTCTGACCGCATGTTGGCTAAGCTCCCTGTATGCCGTCACTTACAGTGTTCTTGGTAACTTGGGCTATAAGAATCCAACAATGTGATCTAGGGTTTTTCCACCACACTCTTGGAAGGAAAAATGAAGGTCTGCTGCTGGAGGGCTAAGAAATGTCATATCCTGCCCTAGTCGGTTTGGCTCAGTGGATAGAGCCTCGGCCTGCCGACCGCTGGCCTGCTTGACCGGACAGCTGAGAGACGTTCTTGAAGTCCTTCCATACAACCTTCTGGATGAAAATGGGGCTGCGAGGGTCGGCGAAGGTAGGCAGGGCTGTGAGGGCTGAGACCCTTACATGACTTTTGTGCATCGGGCCTCCAGTTCCTATATATTGATGACTTCTGGTTGTCCCACAGGTACAGTGGCATCTAAATACAAACCTCTCCACATATTTTAAAAGTATACAAAGCACAGAAGGAACAAATAAAACACCTATAAACCAGAACTTGAGCATAACAAGGAGATGGGAAATATCTAATTCCATCAGATCCCTTTGCTGGGTGTCACTGGTGAGTAGAGGACATTCTTGGTGAAACTTGCTGGGACTAAGGATGCGGTGGCTCTAGTGCAGTGGCTCCCTACGTGGGGCACACATCCCACAGGAGGGCAGTTTGATTTTTAAGGGAGGCAATTTGAGCATGAGTTATTTTTTTTTAACATTTTATTGATTTTTTACAGAGAGGAAGAGAGAGGGATAGAGAGTCAGAAACATCAGTGAGAGAGAAACATTGATCAGCTGCCTCCTGCACATCTCCCACTGGGGATGTGCCCACAACCCAGGTACATGCCCTTGACTGGAATCGAACCTGGGACCCTTGAGTCCGCAAGCAAACGCTCTATCCACTGAGCCAAACCAGTCAGGGCAAGCATGAGTTATTAACAGTGAAGTTTCTGCATTTCTTATGGTTCTAGAGGCGTCACATATAGTATATGATATATTGTGACATATTGACGTATTTCAGTTCTCTATTATATGTTTTGAAACTTTGCTATTTTTTTCATATCACTTCATATTATTATTATTTTAAACAATTTCTTAGCGATTTCTTCCTCAGCACTTCAACTGTCCTTTCGTTCTTTTATTTTTCTCTTTCATGGATGCTATGTTCTCTGGAAGCTTGTTTAGAGCCAGGTAATGGCCTCTTAGGCTTCCTCCACGTGAATAGGAGTTCACTTTTTGAATAATAAGAATTATATGTCACAGGGGGCATCAGGATTTTAGAGATGCTTAGGTGGGGCATGGCCACAGAAGGTTGGGAACCACTGCTCTAGTGTATTGATGTGAAATCTACATTGATGGTTATGATGGGTTGATAAGAGGCCTGGTTTTTAGGAAATAAACTCTAGAGAATGTAGCAGTGATGGGATATTTGCTGCTTACTGCCCAGTAGCTCAGGAATAGACTTTCTGTTACTGCATCTGTAATGTTTTTGTAAAATTTTTCTTGTCTCAAATTTTTTGGAACAGTTTTTTAAAGTAAGACTTT